AAAATTTAAAAAATTGCCACTTATAAATCAACATTTTCTTGACTTACTTGGTTACACCATTCTCCTTGTACATGCTCCTGTAGAAACCAGTCATATCAGTTCTCAGMAGTCCCTGGAAAACTATCTTCACCTGGTACCTTCGGCCGGTCAATAGATTGTTCGCTGCATAGATATTAAGAATCTCAGCATCGTTGTCTAATTCGTATGAGTCCACCGTCTGGTCTGTTTGGGTCTTCATCTCAGTAATAGCCACGCTCTTAATCTCCATATCCTTGGCGTTCAACGTCACATTTTGTGTGATGGAATTTATGTAAATAAGGATCTCCACCTGGCCACCAAATGTATATGAATCTGAGCCTTTGTCATACTTTGGCACTAGCCGCAAGCCATACGCTAACGGCCGGGTGTCACGCGGCAACCGGTGCGACGACGATGAGTCCGATTCAGCTTTGGCTGGTTGATTTTCTGCATAGCTGGCAATCGGATGAACTGCGATGAGTGCAGCAATGAGTGCAACGATTTTTGTTATCGTTTTACAATACATTTTTGTTGTTGACGCCTCTGACRATTCCGTCAAACAGACTACCATTTTCTGCTGACACTCCAAACCGGATCGCAATTAAGGCCTTATCTGTTTGCAGTGTGCGCACTCAAACTGCGATATCAGATAAATTTACAATCAACGCCCCCACTATTTTGGAGGGCTTTTCTGAATCGAAACATTATTTCGTATACGCAGATTGTTTTGAACACATCCGAACACAGCAGAAAAACACATTCCTTTTCGTTCACAGCATTACTGTTAGATAAATACAMCTTGTTACAACAATTAACCAACACAAATAGAATAACTTTTCTAAGTTCTCTATACATTATATATAATRATAGCTTAAACTAGATGTAAATCATTTGATAACTAAAAAATATTGTTAACCCATATTTAAATTCTAATAATATTTTTAAATTAGAGTAAATATACAGTAATAAATAATCATAGTAGGTATACTGTATATTAATAAAAACTATTATTATGAAATGTAATGATATACTAAAGTACTCACTGTTTAAGTACAGTGTGTGAAGATAACAAAATACACTTCTATGTTGAAATAAAAATACACTTGAGCATGTCAAGTGGCTTTATGATCGAGTGATTATTTTATAAAAGCAATAAGTTCTCACTAACGGCTTTTAACATATTCATTACGTGTTTATTGAGTTTTTCTGATTTGATTGTTTTTCTAAGATTTTTATACTTTGTCTCAAAAGAGAATAATCAGTTAGCTGGCCGATTTACGTCAGTGTTGAGATTCTCCTACCAACTTTTCCTATGAAAAAGTGATCACATGGTGCTCAACACGCCAATCGCAAACAGTAATTGTTCTTTTTTGAAACAGGGTAAAGTAARACCTAAGATGAATTCAATCAATGAAATACAATGTAATTTATTTCTACAAAATCATTTTATTTGGCACTCCAAATTAATAGCACGTTAGCAATGAACATTTTTTACAGATACTAGGACTCATTTTTGTGTTTGATGTTATTATATAATTTTGTATACATTTATTTATTTAATATACATTGAAATAAATTTATAAATTAGTCAACAATAATAGTCTGGTATTTYATTATTATAATTTTTAAATACATACCTATGTGTTTTCTAAAAAATGTCATARTTTCATGCACTTAGCTTCAACTCAAGGACTGAATGCAAACTCCTCGATAATTATTATTTATTAAAATAATTATTCTATTTTCAACAGCGTAATTTTTAATTCTRAGTATTTTCATATATTTACTTTTGTTATTAAATATTGAATTGTTAGATTAAATTAAATTATGTCTATAGCCAATAATCCATTTTGAATACTTCTTAATACTCATTTCAAATAATTCAATTTCGTATAAAATCTTGAGATGTTAATATTAATAATATAATTATAATACTTTTAATTATTAATATTTTTAAAATTATTAACAAATTATTCAACTAAGACAATATTGCAATTTTTGTGAAAGGTATTAAGAATTAATTAGTTYTATAATCTTATACCAAKGTACAGAGAATTCCAAATAAATAACCAATTCATTTTTTATTTATCTATATAAATTAATAATTATCATGGTTATTGTATGTTTAATARAATTTGAAATACTTTATAGGTATTAATAATAATATTATTTTTTCTAAATTTGAAAAACTATACTTCAAATCTGTACAAATATCATTATATTTACCGAATAACAACTTTTTTTTAGAATACTAGTTATTGAATATTTTATTGATGTAGTTACTTTGTACAAAAAAGGTTGAGATCAATTCTTATATAGATTATAGAGATGCAATATCACATCAATACGTTGAACAATTATATACATTCTAGAACATGATCAAAATGAAAAAATTAGTTACTTTTATAAATACAATTTGTATGATTTGCACTATTAACTTTAAAGGTTTAAATACTTAATACAATATTGACATTAGAATTTCACATACACATTTTATTTATTTCAAAATTTCCTCGTGAAGTATAAAACATCCCATAAAACGTAATTATATAGTGTGWATTATGTTTTATAGGATACCTAATATGTAAATAAAAGTGTTTAAGGTAAACGTAGAAAAATTTTGGGTTAAAGCTATGTTATTCACCGCTGTAGATAAATGTAATGTCACACCTCTGTATGTCTATTATAGTTTCAACAGTGTTCTATATAAAATGATGTAATCCCTAGRAGTATGCCCAGTGAGGACGGGACTTCGGTAATAACAGTAAGTATAAACTAATGTAATTTTGTCCCGGCAACAGTAACAGTGATGTTTACTTGTTTTTCTGAGATTTATTTAAAACTATCCTCTCTATTATTTTTTTTTACCATCTTTATAGGAACTTAAATAAAATACCTAAAAAGTAATAATAATAATAATTATTATTAATGATATTATCATATATCATGCATCAATATTAGTATTAGTTATCTCATCTTTCTCATCATACGCTTCTTTTGTATKTTGAGTAAGTCCTTGAGATGATTATGGTATAGGTAGGAAGGTACTAGGTACTAAGGTTCACCTGGTAACCATTAATTCGGTTCTAGCTTGGACTAATTGCATGTTATCTTATACTATATTATGTTGATATACTACTACATGTTTTATCTAACGCTCTTATAATTTTAAATTGATCTTAGATTATATTCTTTATTCATTAAACTAATATAAAGTTTAGAATAACTATAACAATATACGTTTATTTATAAACATTTCATATAAGTATTTACATTTAAGAGTCTTATTTATAAATATTATTATAAAACCGGATTTCCTATCTTTTTCATTTTGACATGATAAATGTGTACGAATGCCTGAAAGAAAACAGAATAAGTCACGTCTAGGGTGGTTATCACTTACCATGGACTAAAGCATTCGGTTTCATGAGATTATTCTTCACAAAATATAAAAATATGCCTTTAAAGCTATCAAAATGGACCAAAGCAACATGATACAACTTGTATGCACAGGCGCTGTTGCGCTGGATGGTTTTAATGTGGTTGTCGTTACATATTTAGTAACTGGCACGGGGGATGTGGTAGAAAATTCCGTGGTACCGATTGAGGTTGTAATAGACGTTAGATTAGTAGGTATTTCAGTCGATGTGCTCTCGGTTGGTATAGTTTGAGGATCAGGTTCTTGATTTTCTAACGCCCATTGGCTGATTCTATCTCCATACTTATTGAACCACGCTAGGTTATCATTGACATTTTCATACGATTTCTCAAATGACGATCTCACAGAGACAGGGRCAGTAGAATTGTTTTTCAAACTTCTTAGCTAAAATAATTTTTAACATAATTATTCATGGTAACTGAAGTCGATCAATTTATGTTGATACATTATATAATGTGTGAAGTCAACAAGTTAATGTATTTTTTATAACTGAGATTTTGAACAAAAKAATCAAATAAATAGCATATGACAGGAATTGTTACTAA